CACCAAACCCACATCGCAGTCCCTTTGGTCTGGGTGCCCAACGAGTCAACGACGAGCTTTTCCATCTCCGAGTCAACTTTTCATGATCGATTTTCCGGACTCGGTTTCGGTATCTGTTTACGCCCTGAACTCCTTCAACACCGCCTATGGCCCTCTCAACTCGTTCTTACACCACTCGTCTGCCCACCGATCGCGTTACCTCTGCCACGCCTTCCAAGACGGCAATAAAGACGATCTCGCGCCTTGCGGCTCTATTAACGCGCCGTCGAGCTGCCCGCATAGATAGACATGACACCTATTTAATATTTCATGGGATATATGCGGCCAGACGCCCCGCGTTGGTCGCACTTTCGCTCGCAATTGGACTTGGTCGCGGAGGTGGTCGCAAAGTTGGGGGCAGGCTGTAGCGCGGAACCGCGGGGACCTTGTCGTGGGTGCGGTGTAGGGGAACATGTTTGTGCGGCTTCCAAGGGCTAGGGGTGCCTGGCCCAAGACCGAGGATGTGCAGAACTTTTGCGGTGCCCGTGCATAATACCCCGCTGTGTTTCTCTGGAAGTGGCTCGATATTCTGAGAAGAATCAGTGTCAAAGCGGACTGTCTCCGGAAGGGTTAGGATGACGGTCATGACCTTTCAGATTCCGGGCAAGCATACTATAACACTTGGTCGCCCGCTGGGTAAAGAGGTTTCAAGTTTGGATTGGTCACCGTGTTAGTCTGTGTGCTCTCCCGCCGATGCGTATCTGCAGTCTCGTTCGCTCCTTACAACTACTAAATCGTTCACAGCTCAAGTTGTGCCATTTCCGTGGCGCAACCCTCGATCTCGTCGCAGCTCTTCCAGTTAACGGACATTTGTTTGTGCTAACCGGAGCTGGCGCTGGCATAACGAAGAGACTGGAACCATACATGGATTTCTGACCTTCAATTTCGATCGATTGCTGTCCGCGTGTGACGATTGTCAAGACGGTCAGCGAACGTGCATGCTTGTCGGAAATACCTGCTGACCATTTGCGAAGGTCACTCACAGCGGGTTGGAGCACCAACAATGCAGTCTTCTTGGCTCGCCGCAGCATGCAGGAACTCTCCCACTTCGATGCATCCTCCGAAATGTGAAAAACTCTAACTGCGGGAGAATTAAGAGTCCGAGTCAAGAACTACATTTTGTTGACCGACTTTGGCTGCACAAACGCTAGCGGCGGCTTCCTCGATGCTTTGCTTTGCCCACAGTGCGAGCAGCAGCCAGCTCCGGCCCACGACTTTGACTGCATTTCCGACAAGACCTTTACGATTACCATCCCGACACTGTACGCTCGAATTTGTTCTTTACCTTGCTATTGATAACCGTTTAAATTTGCCGGGCGTCTTTTCGACGTGCGATACTTGGAAAGTCGGAACAAAAATAGCGATGACGATGTCTTGTCCCAAGCTGCGAAAAATAGCTTGAGGAGCGATGATGTTGCCTTCCCGGCGCCGCCTCGTCCCTCACTGGCTCGTATTATGAGCCTGACTGGCTGGTGCAGTTATCTCCCCCCTGGGCCCGGGGACTGCTAGCGGGAGAACATTCATTGGAATGGTGGGGCCTGCCATGCTAGCGGTGAATATGCACGTTGGCAGAAGAATTTGCTGATAATTTTTGAAGGCCGTGTTGGAATCAATATTGGCTCGCCGCGGCATCGCGGCCACCTCTAGTAGGTGTCTACGGTGCGGAGACGCTTCCCCTTTGATTGAACATTCATGCGCTCGCATCCGAGTGCTGGACGGTGTTTTAACTCACCCCCGCAGGCTGAGCCGGGCTTAATTGGGACATACGAATTGAATTTGGACTATTTGAGGTGAGCAAATCTATTCCTGCCTTGCATCACCGTTTCTCCACGAGCATTATAGTGTGCCCATATTGTTTGGTGCTAACTGGTGAAGCTGGCCCGGGCACGAATCAGCGAGCGAGTTTTTGGACTCCGCTTATGGTAAGACATATTGTTAACGACGGGATGAGGTTGGCTTTTGCGGGAACGAGCCCGCAGAGCGCGGACCCCCTTGTTCTTTTTCTCTAGCTACACCGCCATCGCACCCACTACTCGTTGGATAAATACCCCCCAGCTTGGACGATATTTCCCCAGTTCCTCTTCCTGCAACGAATAGGTGGGCGGCGACAATACTAGGCCATGTACTTTTGACCTGACTCGGTACAGAAACTACCAACACAAACATGCAGTTCAAGTTCTCCACCCTCTTGACTTCCGTCATGCTTGTCGCGTCGGCCAACGCCGCGACGCTGCAGTGGTTCGCTGGCGCGGGCTGCAGCGGCTCTATTATCGACACGAGCAACGGCGCTGGATCGGGCGAGTGCATTTTCCTCACCAACGGAGGCAGCGCACGCAGCATCTCGTGGAGCGGCATCACCGGCCAGATCCAGTTCTTCGAGTCGGGCGGGCAGAACGACATATGCACGGGAAGTCCCCAGTTCACCAGTTCCAGCGGCTCGGGCTGCTCCACCGCGCCGGACGGGTGGGTTGTCGTGCTGTTTTGTCTGATGGGTATTGCTGATGCAGACTTATTAGCTTTAACTGGGAGAGCGCATCAGGAAAATAAAAATGGGCTGGGGGCACTGGGCGAGCTGGAGAGCTGGGGCACTGGGCCCAGAGTTTCCAGAATCAAAAATTTACTCACCTGAGTCTAGGATGCCAAAGGTCGTTGATCAAGAAAGAAACAAGTAAAGGCACGAATATACTGAAATATAAGCGTTTTGAAATCTTTCATTGTGAGATGCTTCCGAGTCGATATATTGGCACTCTACAAGTAGAGCAAGTCCGATCTGTGAAGGGGCTACTAACTTCAAGTTTTATTTGAGTTGTGCAGTTGAACTTGAAATCGGGATCCCTCTCTTCGCGGCTCTGATGGATTGTCATTCTATGGGTTCTCTGTTCAGCATATACACGTTGGATCTAGTCTAGCCCAACTTCGAGGGCTCTGTAACAACCTCGAGCAAATTCTTGCGCGCCTGATTCGGTAGCCTCTCTTTCAACGCAGTGAGAATCGCCTGCACATACTCTGCCGATTCGGCGAGATCGACAGGACCCCCCTCGAAGACGAAGCTGAGAAGGACATCATGGTCACGCCCCGCCAAAATTTCATCCAGCCGGTGGAGTAGTCGTTGTGCGGTCCGATCGCGAGAGCCCAGCGAGGCAGGGAATATTTCGGCTGCTTGCGTGAGCGGCGAAAAACCGAGAGGTTTGGCGTGGTCCCAGATTGCAGTAATGGAGTCAGAACGTCGGAAAGGAACCAGGAAAAGCTGATATCCCGAGCAAGCTGGAAGGCGAGTTGATTACAGAAAATGTTCAATAGTCGAAGGGAGGGAAGGGGCGGGAAATTTAGGTTGTTTGGGTCGGATTGCGAGCGCCTTCGTTCGGCTAAAAACATCAACAACATTGTCAAAACTAGTGTATATGTGGACGGGCATACCGAAGAGTATGAGCTCGAGGTGCTCAAGACTATGCGTTGCAGCGGAACAAATCCGTAGAGCTGCGGAGATGTCCTCGTTGTGAGTGAGATCCACAAGGAGTTGGTAAACGCGACGTGAATAGTGGACAAAGTTGGGGGAAGTCAAAACGAGATCAAGGTTGGCGTTGCGAGAGGAATACAAGCCAAAGGGTGGCGGAGTATGTGCAGGCGGAATGACAAGGGCAGTCTCATCGACGGACATCCTACTGAAGTCCAAGAAGCCACGTGGCGCTATTACCCCGAAAATATCGTGGATGAAGCTTTGGGGAACATTGAGTTCTGTGGCTGGTCTACTGTACTATTACGATGCTAAGTTCAGAGCGTCTTACGCATTACACAATTAACTTACCAAGTTAGAAGTTCAGAGCCGGGTCTTACGCATTACGCATTTGTTGGAGTTCAGTTCAGTCAGGCGTAGTCGAAGGTTTCGATGGAGAAAGTTGACATTGAATGGGGGTATTATTTCAAAGATTTTCATACGTCTTTGATTGTAGATCAGACTAAGATCGAGTACCTGAATCAATGTGAAAATTTCTGCAGTCCCAAGCTACTCCCCACCTTGCGCCCATGTCTGACTCGTCCGACTCCGAAGCCGAGTCCCTTCAGCTCGACATTGAAGACTTCCGTGGTTGTGGAAAGACGATGAAAGATGTCCCAAGACGAGTGCGCCGTGCTGCCAAACAAGCATTCTCCATCCCCCTACCCACTGCCGCCGAGATAACCCCCGTGTCGACTCTTCCGATTCCCGAGTTCCTGCGATTCCCACTTCCCCTCATTTCCAACATAACGGGTAACAAGCCTGTCGAGTTCTTCAGTCAATATGAGCCGGACACGTTGGACAAAGGCACATTCCTCCGAATGCGTTATCTGGCAGTTCCGAATGAGAAACTAGCTCGGGAGATCTTGGAACACAGTCGACAGGCGTGGCTGGATGGGAACCGCTCAATTGTATATGCCCATCTGGATGGCACAACGAAGCGCTTCCCGATATGGGTCGTATCGTTCTGGATGGATGTCATCGAGGCGAGGAAGGTGCGAGCGAGATGGACAAAGTCGTGGGACTTCGTTAGGAAGGAGCAGGAACGAGTAAAGCGTAGTGCTCGTGGGCAGGATACTCTTCGAGCAAACCTTCTCGAGGAGACGAAGCAGCTTATCTCGATGATTCCCTGGGCCACCGCAAAACCGGCAGGGTTGTCAGACACGGAGCCTTTCCATCAGCTCTCGCGTCTTGTGGGACCAAGCTGGCTGACGGACTCACAAATCAATGACATGCTCGAGTTGCTGCGGCAGAAAATAGAGGATGAGGTCGAGGGAGAGGTTGGTGCGAGGTTTCGGGTGAAGAGTGCTGCATTCATGGAGTCACTGTCAAAAGCCTACGAGAAAGGAAGCGACCACTACAATTCAGACTCTGGTTGCCGGTGGCTGAGAGAGATTGGAGATGAGTTGGCGGAGGAGAATGGCACGTTGCTCACGATAGCACATCTGGGAAGGATCGAAAATAATCCTCACTGGACGTCACTTGTCATCGAGTTCTCCGACGAGCGGGTGCGCGTCTTGTATGGCGACTCGTTCAAGCAACCGATACCGCCAAAGCTGCGCGAAATATGTGAGTGGTGGGTGTTGATGCATTCGGGGCGGGACGTACAAGTCGAGAGCTTGGCTATTGGCCATCAGGAGGATGGATTCTCGTGCGGTCCGCTGGCTATCAACAGCCTGCAGCATTACGTCGACCCAGCGGTGTCGTTGACGAAGGCGGGAGAAAAGTGGATTGTAGCGAGGCTCGAGGCTTTCAATGAGTTGGCAAGATGGACCCTGGAGAGGGTGAGGCTCTTTGAATGTTGTTTTGGCTATGCTAACGTGTCTTGTAGCGCGAAGCAGACAGGCTGGAAGCAGAGATGGATGCGAAAGAAGATCGTGAGAGTCACTCGGGTCACGGCCCGGCTCTTGACGATGACAACGACAATGACAACGGCGACTCACCCAGCTTTGGACGTCGCGAGGACGGCTCTCCCCATGCATTCACCTTCTCCATCGACAACCAGACCTCGTCTGGGCCTATCTCTTCGGGTGTGAAACGACCAAAGGGCCATCCTGAGGCACCTACGCCCAACGCCACTCCCGAGCGGCGTCGAATCTTCAAATACGACGATAACCGGCTTGACGAATCCAACGAGGACGCTCCAGGGCCCCTTCTCCTCTTTCCACAAGACTCGCCGTTGTCTACCAACGACAATTATGACGTATTTGGTAGTTCTCCACCCGCAGTCGATTCACTCTCCCTTCCATCTTCCACCGACTCTTTTCCCTCCGACCCAATGCTTCGCCCCATTGCTCCTCTTCCTCGACGACCATCTCCAGTCGCATCTTCCAGCAATGAATTTCCAAAGTCGAAGGCGAAGGCGAAGACAAATTCAATTTTGGCCTATTTCAGCAAGGAAACACCAGCGGAGAAGGAAGTGCGTCTCGAACGCGAGCATCGTGAATATGCGGAGAAGTCGGAACGAAGGAAATGGGAGATACAGAGTCAAGAGCGGGTTCTGCTTGAGGAAAAGCGGGCAAAGAACGCAGCATACATGAAGGCTTATCGTGCTAAGCTTCGAGATGAGCGAATTGCGAGAGGCGATATACCAAAACGAGGACGGAAACGGGTGCGTGTCATGTCTTCAAAGATTGTTTTCTGCTCTAACTTCACGACAGAAAGCGGCTGAGGCCGAACTTCTCGACAACGACCTTAATGGCCCCAACAAACGACTACCCGAGTTCTCCCGCCCATTCCGCCAGTTCGCTGAAGAAGCGCGGGAGGGCAATAAGCCGTCGGGACGCAAGCGCTTGACCAAGAACATACCCACCGATGCTGTGCGAATCCGCTGGCAGAACCCGCTCATCTGGCAGCAATTCCTGCTGGCGGTAGATAGGGTGCGGTGGCCGTGGCGACCTTGCGACATCATTCGAGAAGCACGCAAGGTTAACGAGCCTCTCTTTGGTCGACTTCGGGAACAGGTGGTTGGGCGATGGATTGACCGCAAGCAAACGACGCAGAAGGGTGGTATCGTATGGACGGAAGCCGTCAGTAAGGCATTGGCTCTGCAGAGTCGCAGTGCCAATTCTACCAGCCGTGTCGGTATCCTGGTACGTGCTTCTCATACCCTTCATTGCATCTTCTTACTTATTGACTTTGAAGACACCATTCCCTGAAACACGCCGTAAAATCAACACCCAGCTAACATCCCTTCGTGCCGCTGGCATTCCTGTCAATCTCCTTACCGCTCGCGGCCTCATGGTTGCGCATATCGAGCACGACCAACCCCATCTGTTCCAGAAACGTCTTGGTGTGGGCAACACGACCTTTCGGTGCTCTGAAAGCTTTGTACGCAAATATCTTAGGGAGGAACTGGGCTGGAGCGAGAGACGAGCGACCAAGGCAGCTCAAAAGCTTCCCGAGAACCACGAGAAGATCCTTGAGCAGGCGTTTCTGCGAGAAGCGTGGCTGATCCACCAATACAGCATTCCTGCGGCCTTGCGAGTCAACACAGACCAGACACAAGTCATCTACTCCCAGGGGAGCGCTTCGACGTGGAACACTCGCGGTGCCAAACAGGTTGCAGCAGTTGGGTTGGAAGAGAAGCGTGCTTTTACGCTGGTTCCATCGATCTCTGCAAACGGCGACGTCCTTCCTGCCCAAGTAATCTATGGAGGAAAGACCAAACTTTCCGCACCATCGGTGTTCTGTCGTGGACACAGCGAGGCTACACGTGCTGGCCATGCTTTCATTCATTCTGGCAACGACTCATACTGGTCTAATCACGACACCATGCATAGTCTCGTCGACGATATCATCGCTCCATTCTTTGAGCGTCAAAAGGCCTTACTCAAACTCCCCTCGTCGCAGGTTTCCATGTGGAAAATAGACTGCTGGTCCGTGCATCGCTCGACAGACTTCATCGACTGGATGCGCATCAATCACCCAAATATCGTGGTTGTCTTTGTCCCTGGCGGGTGCACCGGTGTTTGGCAGCCGCTAGATGTTGGTATACAGCGGCCTTTGAAGCTGAGCATCAAACGCTCAGCCCACCGCGACGTGGTTGACGAGGCTATCCACCAGCTTGCCTCCGACTGCTCTCCAGCCAAGGTCAGGCTTGACACGACGATTGGTAACCTGCGGAATCGGTCAGTCCAGTGGGTGCTACAGGCATTGAAAGAGATATCTCAGCCAGACCTCGTTAAGAAAGTGCGAGTTTTGTCCACTGTAATCTTGTTTCTGTTCTCTGACATGATATATAGGCATTCGAAATGTGTGAAGTCGGCGATTTTAACTGCTCGCAAGAGAGCCTGACATCACCCTCTACCCTCGCCAAGCTTCGACGTCTCTCAAAAGAGCATCCCAGCCTTCACGCAGAGCTCACACGTGCGACTGAGAACGACACTCCAGAAATCATTGCACCAACATCTACTGGGGTTGACGAGGAGATATATTCACGGGAAACGGTCTACGACGACAGCGACACCCCAATAGAGGTCGCGTTTACCATTGTACAGGGCAAGACATCTTCCACGACGTTTGTAGTGGGCGACGATGGTGGAATCCAGCGGGATGACGATGCAGAGACATTGGAGTTGGACGTAGATGACCTGGTAGCCGAGGAGCCACAGGAGCTGGGTCGTGGGAGACGTCGTAAGACTACAAATAAGCTGTACTCTGCGCGCTTGTGGGAGGAAGGTGAAATCTAGCCGAAAAATGCATTTTGATCAAAATTTCCTTTTTTGAAAGAAATATGTAAGAGATTCAGCCCGGCTCTTTACGCATTACACATTTGGTGGGGTTCAGTTCAGAAGGTGATATTACGCATTACGCGAACTTGACATCGGAATACTACAGTAAGAGTTAGGCAGCCGGCCCGGGCTCCGTTCCCCATTAGGAAGCTGCCACTACTACCTACACCGTCATGTACGCTTTGAAATCCAACAGCTTGCCCGGTGTGCCCAGTTCCAACAACTCAGACAATGCGCAACAATGGACTTTTGCCCGCCTTCTGTCTCTTTGCCACCACCACCACCTGCCGCCGTTGTTGTAGTGATGCCCGCCGCCGTCGACGACCAATTGCAACCTGCCACTGCCGTCAAAAAAACTCGTAGAAAACGCGAGCACCTCCTGAACAATAGCGGAATCCCACTCTTGACTCCTCAAGACCTTCGCTCCAAGGTCTATGTGAGCGCGCTTGTAGTATCCAAAGCCCACAAGACGGCTCTGGAATGCCTATACCAGACCCCATCGGATAAGAGCGTCATTTTCGAAGCAGTATACGACCACGACCATGATCCCGACGCCCAAACGAAAGCCCTTGAACAGCTCAAATCACTAGGGTTCTCTTCTGTTTCGGAGTGCCCTTCAAAGCGCTTCTTCCGCGCCTGGGGCAAGAACAAGGATGGCACACCAATGCGAGGTGATGCAATCCCCGCAGAATGGAGCTTTCAACGACTGCTATACCAATGGTAAGCTCCCCATTGTGTCTGCCATCTGAGCAAACTATTGAACTCATCCGCTTTCAGTGCTTCTAGCTATGACCATGCAGTAGCCAAGTCAAAGGAGCGGCAAGCGCCGTACCCTTACACCGAGTGTAACGCGCACTTCGAGCTGTCATTGCATCAACCCACCAATACTGTGCTCCGTATTCGCGGAATTCTTGAGCATAGCACCGCATGTGCTGCGGGAAAGATCGACCACCTACCTCGCAAGTCAGTTGCACCCGTCGTTTATGAGCGCGCCATCAAAACACTGCAAACCGGAAAACTTCATGATGTCAAGGTCGAAAACTCGCAGCTGTACCATTCACGGGCCTATCCCGGCTTCCCTCGCGACCCCGATGCATCCCAGCATCGTTGGCTGCTTGAACCTAAAGACACCCGAGCCTTATATCGCATCTTTCATCGGGCAGGTGGTGTTCAGATTGAGAACCGTGCCGAAATCAACATCCACAACTGGCTTGACCCAACCTCTTCTGGCTACAATCGTGACTTCGCTGCAGTCATCTTTCATTACTCAGCTCGTAAGACGCGCGAGGAGCGACTTGAGCTGGCCATCTCAACGCCAGAGATGGATGCACTGGCATGGAAATTCGCACATCAAAACCAGTTTATTGTCGATGGAACATTTGGCTTCTCCAATTCCCGCCTGCTTCTTTTCATTGCAATGGCCCTTGATGAGGAGCGGAAAGGAGTGCCGATCGCCCTCTTCATATTCTCGGCTCCTTCGGGTAACCGCCAATCGTCAGCGGGATACAACACCAAGATCCTTGCCAAGCTCTTTCAGACCTGGCGCACCCATCTCGACACTGTTGGCCATGACCTTCGTCACACGGGCGACCCAGAGCAGTCCTTCAGACCTGTCGTTGCCATCACTGACACCGACATGAAGGAGCGGGCAGCGTTGCTCCAGGTCTGGCCTCAACTCTGGTTGCTCATCTGCCGTTTTCACCTCAAGCAGTGCTGGCGCAATGCTCGGAACAAGATCAAGCAGTCGGGCAGCGACTTTGAGAAGCTAGTGTCAGATCTCAAGGCACGGTTGCTTGGTCTTGAGCAGGCACTGTTGATGCAGCCGGACACTGCATCTGCGCGTGAATTCCTTGCTACTGAGCGGAAGACATTAGAACAGGCATTGAAGAGTTGGGGCAATGGAAAACTGCCAGAAGTCGCACAGCTGGTGTTTCATCATCTTGACTATCTGGGAGATGAATATTGGCTGACATTCTTCGACAGTTGGTCAGACGCGTCTCGCGTTGAGGCTGCCAGACGTTTGGGCTGTCCTGTCTCCGATGTTCTCAACACTACCAACCATCTCGAGCGCTTCAATGGTGAGCTGAAGAACACCCAGCTGTCGCGGGAGAAGCGTAATGGGCGGCGGCTCCGCCCAGACGTGCTGCTTGTCAGAAATCGGCACTTATTAACCAGGCCGCACGCTCCCGATCGAGTGCCACAGACGAATAGCTTAACCACTACCCGAGGGTACAAAGGGAACGAAGGGAGATAAAAGCGTGCCCGACAGGCACGCGGACTGCACTATATATATGCCACTCCGGTACAGCCCTAACCCGGGCTCCGGCCGGTCCCGCAATCATATGCGAGATGCGCATCACCGCGCGTCTGCTCTTCCCGCTACCGCTAACACACCCCCTCGCGCGTGAGGCGCGAACCCACCCCACCCTGCGAGTCCAAGACCACCGACCAATCCAGCCGGTCCACATCCACCGCACGTTGAGACCAGACCACCGCGCACCTGCGCAGCTAAGACTCTCCGCACGTCCAACAACCTGCGCTACCACCAGCGCCACCCGTCCCGGCAAGCCAAATCCGCCCACCATGATGCACACCCCCTGAATCGGTGTACCGGCCCATCCCATCCCAGAGCCTAGCCAACCCAGGTGTAAACCCAATCCTCCAGGCCGTATTGCGCAAGACCAGCACTGTGACCAAGACCGAGTTGAAGACCAGCAGCATGCCACCACTGAAAAGTCGCCGTCCTGCCAAGTTGATGTTCCCGGAGCCACCCAGCCATCCAACCTGACCCGACGCCAATCGCACCCCCTCCGCGAGTAGTCCCATCCGCCACCGGCGTGTCGAGTACGCCTGAAACCCACGGATATCCGAAACTGGCGATAGCCGCCCCTCACTGAGTGCGCCCCGCGTATCCGACCCACACCCGCAGCCGTCTGAGTATCCGGCGCCACGCACCACCCATCGAGTACTGCCGCACTTAGTCGTAACGCAGTTGTGAGCCTGAGCGCCCACGTCGCCCGGCTGAGCCTCCGAGCCAATCCGTAAGTCGTCGGATGAGTGTGTCGCGCCAAAGAAGAGCCGCGCCGACACCACTGCCGCAAGAGACCAAGTCCGGGATAATTCCTTCGTCCAGAGAAGTCGCCCAAGCTAAGCAGTCGAAGCAGAGGTACAGGGATGCCAGCCCGGACGCTTTTATGTCAGAAATCGGCACTTATTAACCAGGCCGCACGCTCCCGATCGAGTGCCACAGACGAATAGCTTAACCACTACCCGAGGGTACAAAGGGAACGAAGGGAGATAAAAGCGTGCCCGACAGGCACGCGGACTGCACTATATATATGCCACTCCGGTACAGCCCTAACCCGGGCTCCGGCCGGTCCCGCAATCATATGCGAGATGCGCATCACCGCGCGTCTGCTCTTCCCGCTACCGCTAACACTGCTCAATGTTCTTGTTTTCAAAATCCTTCCCCGCATCTCTCAAAATCGTCACGATCGCATCATTCGACGGCAACAATACCTTCGTCGCTTCGCCAACTTCCCAGGTGGTGAAGAACTGCTTCAAAAACTCGAAACAAAAATGGACGAGACGGTCCCACTCCTTGCATATTACCCCGAAGATCTTCAGCGCCAAATTCGGGGAGCAGAGATGGTGCTTGCCAAACAGATCGGTGTTCCGACCTGCACAACGAACGCCGACGGCACCCTCCGCCTGTATGAATTTGACTGTTTATCGTCGCTGGCTCTAGATGGGGAGACCCATGGTGGCAGGTATACAGTCCAGATTGCATCTAATGGGGCGAGCAACTGTCAATGTACCGATTTCCTTCTTCGTGGGGCAGCCTGCAAGCATTGCCGCGGGGCTCGGGCTAATCTGGATCTTCTGTTTCGCATGAAAATGATTGGCATCATTCATCCTGATGCCATCCCTTTCCCAACAACCCGACGCGAGGCCATTGAGCTTCAACTCAAACTTGGTGTCATGCCTGGCCGAACACGACTAACCATCGATGGCCTTCTTGAGCAATCAGCAGAGGAAGATGCTCACAGTCGTATCAACAGCGATGAACGTGCATCTGCAGCGAGCGAGCAGCTGGATGCAGCTGACGAAACGGATTCCGATGGTGAGGACGAAGACTCCTCCGATGATGACAACGAGGAGTCTTTATTGGACTACGACATTGATGTAGCCCGTCGACGGATGCTCTCTGGACTTGATCTTCCACCAATCCCCCTCCCATCGTCATCAGCCTTGACCTCCTCCCCTTCATCATCAGCTGAAGCTCTGGAAAACCAGGCTGTCGCGCGTCTCTTGTTTGAGACCCGTGCTCATGGGAACACCTGGAGCATCATTGCAGATGCTCTGGACAGCTCCACGGCAGTAGCTGCATTGGACTCACAGACATTGGCTGTTCTGGATCCGCTCGAGAGCAGTCTTCGTCGCGTGCTTGCCGCCATTGATCTGCGGCGCCGAGCTTCGGGCCCAAGCTCATCCGAGTCGTCAGTTGTGGTTGTCCCGCCAACTCCTACCAACGAAGACAGCAATCCGCGTCCTCGGAAACGGGTCCGAGGACCACTGCAAGTTCCGAATGTCCTTCCGCCGTCACCGGAGAAAGCACAAAAACGTCAACAGTCTTATTCTGCAACCTAGCTATAGCCTATTTGTACAATATTATCAACTTTTTTTGACTTATGAAATCAAGCGGGGCGGGCGTCGGGGCGTCGGGGCGTCGGGACAGTGTCGGGGCATGCGCTCCCTCGGGGCTCGGCCTTTCGGTGTTCTTGGGTGCCCGGCAGACGGAGAAGGTCAGAAAATAACAACCTCGTGTCGACCAAAGCGTTGGACTTGGCGTGGGAATGTTCTTAATCCTTAGATGAGCCACACGACCGGAACATTGCTAATGTCGTGTATGTTGAAGCGGCGCATTGTGGCACTGGGAACAAGAGAGAGCCAGCGGG